AGGAAGACACTGAACTGCAGGGATGAAATAGTTATTTAAGACACAATGTACTGTAGACATGGAGACACAGATGTAGTCGAGATACAGGTCAAGAAATGTGCAGTGTGTGCATCTTGTGGGGATTCTCATATGACCAATTCATCCATGAAACAGAATGAAAGGCCAATGCTTCTCTCCATTACTGGAGGTCATAACTGTTGTTACCACTTCCCCCCGTATACTTTCGGGCCCCAGCACGTGTTTAATGCCTATGCAGCAGTGAAATGAAACTGCACTGAACTAGTATTATGCCAGAATGGGCTGTATTACAAGCTTACCCTCTTCTGCCATACTCTTCTCAGTCTAGTCACTATTCAACATTATAGGAAAGGAAATGCCAAAGCTGAATCATCTAGACAATCACTGGGAACCATACTTCCTTTATTTAAGTAGCCATGTTAAATTACCTTAACTATGTACAATATGTATGATATTTGCAAATGTGTGTGTGTGTGTGTTCTTGTGTGGGGATGTTTTGCACTTTCTACAAGTTATTTTATTCATTAGTCTGAATATTATAATATATAACATTTCTTTTTTTGTATTATATATAACATCAGTGAGACAAAAAGTAAGCATTTCAATGCATTACCTCAAATCTGCAGACTTCTTGACACTTATATGATACAATATCTCTGGTGGGGCAAAACGCAAGCCACTGCACCCAAGTTCAACAGTGGAAGGATCCAAGTGCATGTAAAGATAAATAGCTGAGAAAAAACTATGTCCCATGTATGAAAACATATACTTTTTGCAACTTTACAAGAAAATGTGTACATACACATGAACAATGTAACCCCAATTAAATGAGCCCTACAGTGATACAAAAGACATTATACTGCACCAATCAAAACAATTCTTTCAGTCTTGCTACACAGACGGTTCAACAGATGCTTATGAATCCATTCCAACTCTATAATGTCTACAAGAATTATGTAGATTTCCAAAATGGAACAGCTGAAGCAAGCAACACAGTGGAGACAAAACAACGCATCATCAAGTAAATCTGAAGATACAAAGCACAGTCACAATGCAGGAAAATAAACTAAGGAAATTGCCATTATCACTCAAGTTCTGGATTCATTTCTGTGCACTTGACCTACTTCAAGTTTCGGGAAAAATTACGGCAACAGAACTGGCAAGATGGGGGACGGATGTGAGTTGCAGGGCCTGCAACACTCTCAGGAACATGTATATCCCGACCCATCTGACCATTTTACTTTACCAGCATAAGCATCAATCTATACCAGACAGCAGGTTAAATGACAAGAAATGTTACGCAATTCCTCTGGCATAAGTTTCTTAGTCTATACTTTGGTTCAGAGGTGTTCCACCTGCATTAGAAGTGTACACACAGATTTCTTTTGGTTAACAGAATAAACAGAAATTATTTTCCTTCCAAAAAGCTGACAAATGGATAGCTTGGACTACTGGTAAAATACAATTTTCTATGAAGCTTTTAAAAGCTGCAATAAAACAATTTTTTTTTCAGTTTTACTTATTACAGCAGGAGTGGCAAAACATGGCCTGCCAAATAAATTTAACACTTGGTACTGTCCGTATCATTTCTTTCTTAAACATAGCACAGAGAAAGCATTAAAAACCAAGAACATATATTAAATAACAATCCCGATTTTGATAAGGAGTGAGTTTCAGACACCCTAGTATACATACAATCATCCTTCCTATGTGCAGCTTTGCTAATTTATGGTCAAACTCACAAGAGTACATTACACTGCAGCTTCACTGAAAAGCTCCCCATATGCATCTTTGTGAGCACGATTTGCCAGCCTGTAACCACTTCAGAATAGCCCTTACCAGCCTCAAACTAAAGCATACTGCCTGCTTCTGTACAACAGCACTGAGATCAATTTGTTTTTGAAATCAGCCTGCAAGTTCAGAGACAAAATGTTTAAACTTTACTCATTGCCAAGTATTAAGTTATTTACAGGTTTTAGGAACTGCTTTCCTCCTGTGGCTGGGTTATTTTTACACTACAATACACCATATTTAGGTACTGGCCAAAACATAAGTTTCTAAAATGCAGCAACAAAGACAAAATCGCCAGACGTGACTATCAGGGAAATGAGGACCTTTAAATTATAAAACAACAGTAGCTTGTAACCATTAGTTTAGGCCTGTGCCATAGCTCAAGCGGTTAGTCGCTGGCTTCCCACCACACCGGCCCGGGTTCGATCCCGGGTCTGGTCAAGTGGGATCTGTGGTGGACAAAGTGGCGCTGGGGCAGGTTTTCTCAGAGTACTTCGGTTTCCCCTGCCAATCTTCATTCCTCCAATCGCTCCACAATCACCCTCACATATCATCTGGCGTTGGTACAATAGGCCAGAAGTGGCTGCAGTATAAGGGACTTAGTCCCACCCTGCTAGAAAAAAAACATTAGTTTAGTTGAAACAACAAAGCTCACTGTACAATAAACTCACTGGTTTTAGGCGCTCTTTCCTGAGGCGGAATTATGTGGTCTTTTCTGTTTTCTTTAACTGCTGAAGAAATTTTCTTAAAATTTAATATGGGGGGCATCATTCACAGTTCTTGGGAAATAAGTAAATAAATAATTTTTCTGGGGAGTAAAGCGCGGCCAGCGCGTAAGGCTGACAACCTTATCGCCATCTTTGAACAGACTGTCTAGATAATGTGGGACCCTCAACGTCTCACAACCCTATGGGCCTTCACGGCCTGTTACAGGGATAACTTTATTTTTATAGCCTACTTTATATATGTCTATAAACAGATTTTTCCATGCATCCCACAAATCATTCCACAGACTTTAACAAAATTTCTCACGAAAAGTTTATAAGCAATTCATATTTTCAGCCATATTAATCCATAATAAAGCCTAGTTTCTATTAGGTTAAAAAACGATTAATATGTGATTCCCATAAATCATTCCAAAGGATTTGTTGAAATTCAATATGAGAGATTTTCAGTCATTCATATTTCTTTAATCCAATTTCTAAAAAAGGTTTAAAATATTTCTCCAAGTTACAGAACTGTTCTTATATATATATATATATAAAGAGAGAGAAAGTTATTGATATATGAGAGTACTACTCATATTGTGAAACTAAAATGCCAGACTTTAACTACATGCCCAACTGAATTCTCTACAGACCCGAATATATAAATTAAGAGGCAAATCTTACATGGCAGATTTCTATCTTCCATTTCTAGCAAAGGTATGGTTTATAATTCAAACTATTTCAGAATAAAGTAATTACCTGCATGAAGCAGACACCTTCTGGAGTGGCTAAGAGTCACTCTGCTGGTCAAGAAATTCCCTGCCTATTACAAAACTGAAGGTTTATTACCATGTATTTAACAGCCTGCCACTAGTTCCTATCCTGAGCCATGTGAAGCCAGGCCAGAATCTCAAACCACATAAAAAATTCATTTTAACATTATCCTCCAATCCATAATTTGGTATTCCAACTGGTATCCTCCTTTCAAGTCTACTGACTCATCTTTCTCAATCTATCTGTGTGTGCGACAAGCATCCATCTCATTTTTTTTTCAGCATATTAATAATACTTGGTCAACACTACGAATTATGTAACTTCTCATTATACCATTTTCTCCATCCTCTGATTCCTTCCTCGCTACAACATCCTAACATATTCTTCTGTACTTTGTCCTCGGTCACTCTCAATAATGTTATTCCCTCAAATTGGGACACAAAGTTCCTCTAAAATATGATAGTAAAATTTTGGCTTCATATACTTTAATCCCTATATTTTTGGAGAGGGATACAAAAGTTCTGAACTGAACCATAGCAAACATTCACCGAATTTAATCTGCTCTCAATTTCTTTTTCAATGTGATTTTGTCCTGTTACTACCATTCCTAAAGATTTGATCTTTGTCACATTTCTGAAGGATTTATTATATTATGATATGGTTCTGTACTCTGACAACAAGACATGAGTGTATACTAAGTTTTAATTCTGTGTTTATGTCTAGATCAACCTCCTACAGAGTGCAAGAGTGCTTGTTCTATGTATTTCTTCATGGTATTTCCTTCTTTCCATTAAATTAAAACCAACATCATTGATCACAGTCTGCTATGTTCCATTCAATTCATATACTAAGACCTTCCTAATAGTGTATTCAAAGTGAACTTGAAATGCATCAAACAAATATATTTCTACTAGGGGCTCTACATACTCATAGTCCAATAATATCAAATACAGGTCCCAAAGCTCTTCTAAATAAGCATTCTTTATGAAAATGATGATAAATCCACCTACTGACAGTAGTAGCAATACCTGCAACCTGTGCATGCAGTCCACTACTGACTGGCACACTGTATTGCCACAGTATCATGCACCATTAGGATTTTACTGTAAAGATAGAGACAGACTTAAGATTAGATTCACTTAAATATGTTTTAATTGGGCTTAATAAGTTTCATGATATACCAAACTCAGTGACGACGCTGATGGCCTATAATACAGATCACTCAAGTCAAAAGCTTTCCTGAAGTCTACAGATTATGTCCTGATGCACTGTACTCTGTTTTTCTTCAGTATCTAACAAATGCAGACAGATTATATGAAAATCCACATCGATGATCCCCAATAAATACAACTAAGTCTGGAGTTAACCTTTAAAGATGAAAGCTGGATAAAATTTTATGTTATTCACAATAGTAATATTCCTTGATAATTTCTGCAGTCAGTTTCATTAGCCTTATAAAAACACACACAATAAAAAACTCCTTCTACTGCAGCGGAAATACGTGCCTGGATAGCACAATCGATATAGCAACTGGCTACAGGCTGGACGACCATGGGTTCGGAGATAGAGTCCCAGTGGGGCAAGAATTTTTACTTCTCCACATCATCCAGACTGCCTCTGGGATCCATCCAGCCTCATATCCAATGGGTATTGGGGGCTCTTTTCCAATGGATAAAGTGGCCAGGGTGTGAAGCTGACCACTCACCTCCAACTAGTGCCAAGGTCAAGAAAACCTGGGTCTATATATCCAGTAGGAAAATACTAGGTGAGAACCTTCTAATGTCATATAAATTATAGATTAGTAACCATCTCATTCACCTCATTTATGCTTCTAAAAAATCCTCAATATTTTTGTTCTTACTGTGGGGTGTGTTACTTTATGACATCATGAATATCTTGACTATACGGTGTCAAATGGCATGGGATCATTGATAAATTGGAAAGGACGTGGAAAGAAGTGATCATGCCTACTTCAAGTACTATGGCTGGACTAAGCAGAGACATGACAAATTCCAGTCAGGATAGCTGGTGTCCCAGCTGAGATTCAAACTGAGCACCTCACAAATACATGTCTAGAGCATTAAAATTATGCCCACTTGCTCAATGCCTTTCAAGCATAATTATTTTATTTTTCATATATTCCCTGATGTTCACGAAAGTGCTGTTTCACATCTTACAGTGTTCAGATTGCTGCCATTCATGTGATGTGGATCCTGCAACATTGCAATGTAACCTACACGTACTTCCTTTTATCTGATAATTCTGAGCACACTTTGTCAAACAACAGGTTGTGTGGCATTAACTTGATATAACTCAGATTCTTTTTGCCTGTATATTCATATTCTAACTATCTCCCAAATCCTACTGATGTCCACATTATATTGAGTTTTCCCAAGGCTGAAATCTTACACTGATAACTTAATAAAATGTTATGAATAATTTGGATATACAAAATTCAAATTGTATTTTAAATACACAGAGGTTTCAAATAAGAAAGAACACAAGTGTCTCATCAGTATACAGAGTCCTCACTTCTCTATGTTTCTGGTAATGAAATTTCAAATCTAAATCCTGCAGCATATATTTCATGGACTTATCTGTTTATATCACATGTCCATTAACATATAGCGCTTTATCTGCCAACATTACTGGATGCTGAACATATGAATTTACTTGTGCACGTGTGCATACTGTACCTTGGCTGTCTGGTACACACTGACGCTAGTAAAGCATGTGTACTGATGGCAACTGACTAGAGCCAGATACACTGCCAAGCCCCACTGCCATTTAAAGCTTTGAACTGTTATGTCTAAGCATGGAAAATGCTTACTTCTTGCCTTACAAACAACAACTTTAACAACAAGCTCCATTCTCTCACTAGTGGGCAATGCCAACACCATCCTAACAAAATTCTCTCATCTCACAACTTCTCACATCCTTCTCTTCATTCGATATGTCGACCACAGCAGTTGACATTAATATGAGATCAGGTTTTGAGGAATTTCTGTCCTCGACGTTGCATGGTGTGTTAGCGGGAGGTTGTGAGCCCTCCACTGAGGCTGCAGCATCACTGTCCGAACCACCACACTTCTTATCTTCATCGCAACTAGAGTCCAAACCATCTGAATGCACTTTCAACGCAAGCACCAGATCTTGTAAGATTTCAGTTTCCTTCAGCTCTATCAGCTGGAATCGATGATTAAATAGTGTCAGATGTGCAAACACACAGTTCAGGTGTGCATGCAGATTCAGCAATACCACTTCCCGGAAGTGGCAGTGATACAGGTGTGCCAACACATGGAACAGGAGGCGCAGGATCTTGCAAACAATAGACTCGAACGAACTTGGGAACTCATTTGCTAAGTAAGAAGAAAAACACAAGTTTAGTTGCACAGTACGTCTCATACTATCATGGCACTGTATGCATACTACAATTGCTGCACTAAATTTCTGATAACAGACTCTTAACAACAAAGCCTGCCCTGGACCATATCCTACCAAATCTAGCTTACATCTCACAATCTATTACTCTAAGATCTAACATCCTCTCACTCTTCTAAGTGACCACTTCAAAAGAGTACACATTTGTTGTTTCCATATCCAATTACTTGGCCATCCCCCTCAAAAAAACAAAAAAACTTTGATTTTATTATTTTAATAACATGTTCTGTGATTTGAGACAAGAGATTTGTATCTGCAATGAATGGATATCAAAAGCAATGGTAAAAATTCCTCCACTGCCATTTCATTCCTTACAATTTCCCACACAAAAGTCACCTGGGATTGAATTTGAGTCTTTATGGTGAGAAGACAGATCATAACTGCCTGGGCTATGACATGGCTTTGGTGTAATAAATCAAACAGTATTACAAATCTTTACAGAATGGATTATATAGGCACTCACCATACTTCGTAGGGAAGATGGACTCATCACTGATGGTCTTCTGTGTGAATGTCATCACATAATCTATGTACTGAGGGGCAGCCACCCGGGTCTTCTTGCCCTTGTCATCAAACCACAGGTAGGTCCTACAACAGACATACTGCACTGTTCAGCTCTACTTACATGCTTACAAATTTCACTCACAAGAACCAGCACACAGTATTACAGAACAGAAACAAGATGACAAATGGCTGTTAAATATGTGGTAACAAGAACTGTCACATGGTGACAGTTAAATCCTTCAGCATTTGTCAGCCTTTAACACTCAAAGTCACATTACATGGCTACAGAAAAACAGTATTCTAGGGCAGCTTACTTTAGATATATGCTAACGCTGCTACCTACAAGCAATCAACTGTGTTTGTTCATTGCGTAATATGACTCGCACTCTTCAAGAAATGTCAGTGCATCATACTATTATTATTATTATTTTTAAGTGCTGAGGATAAAAGTGGTAAAGAACATTATGGAAACAGTGTTCAATATGAGACCAAATGAATGTACAAGGCAAAATGAAGATTTAAAGGCAAATATGAGTTACCAGATCTTCACCATTCAGGGTCAATGGACACTGGACGAATTTTCAATGACAAGCTTCAATTATCAATCAAATACTTTATTTTGCCTGCCTGGTAGCAACACATCAACAAGCATACATGAACAGAGTTTACTTTTAAGATTTGTTAGTGGCAGATGCCACGAATGCTGAAATGGGATTACAGAAGAATAAGAGATGTCATTTGCAGAATTAAAAAGCTGTTATGAGAACAAAAGGGAGGAATTTGTTACTGTTATCTGAGATGAATACTGGATTCAGGTTGATGGGTGTGGGAGAAATTCAAAGTACAGGCACAACTGGATAACTTTGCTAACTTTGTTTCAGGACATTAGAGGGTTCAATTTTCAATTGTTACTTGGAAGCAGGTATAATCAATGCCAATTTTTCCTGCTGTGACAAACTTGGAAGTAGAAGAGAGGTCGATATACACAATAATCACAGAGGAAGAAAGCAAAGAAAAGGAGTTATTCTGCTTTATGATAGACAATTCCCACCCTCATTCTGTTGAAACAAGACAGGAGACCATCACCAAACCAGAGTGGGGAGTATTACATTATCTCCATACAGGCCAGTTTCAGACCCCTGTCACTGCTCAATACTTGGCATATTCAAGGCAGCACCATGAGCAGAGAAAAATATTCTTTTTTGCAAAAGGAACATAAAAAGTGGCCGTGCAGGCACAGTACTAGAATAAATGCCTTGATGTCAAGGGAGACTACTATGAAAAGAAATCTACACAGATCTGAAACTAAATGTTTCCGCAGTTATTAAAAATTGTTATTTACTTACTGAAGGACCCATATAATATAAATCACACTGCCTAGTTTCATCAGCCTTTCAAAATGAAACAACCTACCTTAGTCCAGGACCTGTCATATCTGGGCATCCTGACATGGTGCAGAATTCAGAGATGGTTCCATATACTAGGTTGATATGATCAAAAAACGCAATTGCTGAAAGAACAAAACCAAAACAATTGCATGAAACATAATGCCAAAAAAGTTCCTCCATATTCAGTTACAGGGAAATGAGTTCCTCAATCACAATATACAAGTACAGACATGTTCAACACAAACATAAACAATATTACACAGAGAGTTATTTAACTTTGTTGACCAGTTCATGGCTCTGTGCTTCATGGCAACCGGTGAGCTGCTTGCCAAGAGATATATATGAATTCTGCTCATGAATCAGCATGCATGATGGCTGATAACATTTGGAATGAGAAAAGTAATTAACATGTGGACGCTTGATGGCACTGTGTTTGATGGCAAACAGTGTAGTTTATGTGTGGGAGTTTGTTTATGATCTGTCAGCAGTGGGTGGCAGTTATTAGCTCCATTAGATGTATCTTCTCAGTTACAACTAGCAAACAGTGTGTTCCCATCATGGTGTGGTATACTTAACAGCAACATGTACTTCTGCATGAGCTATCCCTTAACAGGTCATGGAGGCCCACAGAGTTGTGAGATGTCAAGGATCCCACATTTTCTCTAGACAATCGGCTCGCAGATGGCGGTAAGATTGTGCACTGGCTGCCCTTTACGCCCAGGAAGATTCCTGGTATTAATTTTAGTTAGAGGCCAAGTCGATCCCAGGGCCATAGTGTGGCTGGAAGGATTAGGTCAACTGAAAAAGTCCACTGCATCAGGACTTTTAACTCGCGACCTTCTGGCTTGTAGCATAATGCCTCAACCAACTGTGCTACTGTGTGCCTCATTTCTGCATGAAACCTATGTGAAATACAATCTGCTAGAAAATGTCAGCTGAAATTTCGTGATGAAAGTGTTCCCAGCACACAAATAATACACAATTTTGTGAATAAACCTGGATCAATGGGACTCTTAATAAACAAGAACCAAAAACATAACTGCCAAGTGCTTACTGTAGAAAAGTTTGATGACAGAAACCAGATTTGAACATACAACTATTACACCAATGAAATAACTGGCTCTAGAGACTGGAGTGTCAAAGTCTAGTGCAAGAAGGGCAACACAATTGCTGAAGCATAGACCCTATAAAACAACACTAATCCATGCATGTCTTGCAGCCACGTGATCCAGCTAGAAGGGTTCATTTTTGCAGTTGGTTTGTACAGTCTATCACTGAAAGTGAGACAGATCCACAACTACCACTCTTTTCTGATGAAGCATGGTTTCATTTGCAGGAATACGAAAATATACAAAATAATCAGTACTGGAGTACACTGAATCACATCTAACCCATAAAGACCCGCTCCGTCCAATGGAAGTTGGTGTGTATTGTGCTATAAGTGCAAGAAGGATTGTTGTACTTGCATTTTTTTAATAAAACAATTAATTGCGAAAGAAATCTACACCTCCTGTGACCTGCAAATTGTAATTACTTCATTCTGAACGTTACTGACTGTCAGGTGTGCTGATTCATCAGCATAATTTGTAGGTGCCTCACGGCCGGCGGTGCACTGGTCGCTGTGAAGGGCAGAGTCATGGAACTGGTCAACAAAGTAAAAATCCTGCCTATGTAACAAGGCAAACATCTGCTTATTATTATAATCTGACAAACTCTTTATACCCTTACTAGTATGATTTCCCAGCCAACACAACTGTTACCCTTTGTGGTAATAAAGTTCAGTTAATTGATACACACAATGTCCAAGAACTAGGGCAGAAAATTTGAGGGCGAGTACTAATGACCCAATGGTTTATACAAACACGGATCCAGAAGTTCTTCAGAAATGAACTAGAGTCATTTGAAGGGTTCTAGAAACAGTACAATTCGAACTGTGGTTACAAAAGTATCATACATTAGGGATGCTACTGCAGGAAGATGGAGTTCAGAGCAGATGATGTGAGTGCCTATTTGTGTTTTAGAACTACCACTGTTAACACTCAACAATGAAACACCCAGTCACCATGGTGCTTCCTGCAAGAGCAGGATAGTGTAATATTAGTTGCAAAAGCAGCTATAATGTCACCTTAATAACACCTTCGGTTAAACATTTGTCAGGCAAACATTATCTATAACAAAAGAGTTCTGTTCAAGAGAGAATGCAGCAACTGAGTAAATGTTGTTTTACATTTCACTGACAGGGCACAGCAACTGCTGTTAGGGTTATAATAGTCAAAATGCCGACCTCACACTGCCACAAAAGCTTCAGCCCAATTATGCATGGATTGATGGACAAGCTGAAAAATGCCAAAAGTGTTGTGGACTGGGGTACAACCATTTTGAAAATGCTGTTCTTCTGCAATAACCACTGCTGAAGAATACATCAAGTTATTTGGATGTTCCCAAAGGAACAAATCAAGGGGAATCAAGCCTCATGAATGACTCTGCCAGGGCAATGGTCCCTGCCTTCATATCCTCTGCTCAGTGCAGGTAGTCTCAAGGTAATTTCTGGCAGCATAACTGAAATGGGCTGCGGGACAAACATGCATGAACCACATATTTCGTCTAATATCCAGCAGGCCAGTATCCAATAACTGGGAAAATGTGCTCCAAAAAAATGTCAGTGAGCATAAGAACCAAGTCTGTGAGACAAAATGTATGGGCTTATGAAACAGTCTTCAACAATATTAGCTCAAATGTTAGTTAGTTAGTTATTGGAGAGGGTGGGTTTCCTAATGCACTTAGACCTGTACTGGTCCATTGTGCTTCCCTCTATGATTTCTACCAGTCTCTATATCCTACCAGTACTGGTGCTTACCATCAGTCCCGCCCAGCCAGCAAGACCGGTTCTACTAGCTGAGAGGTATCTATAATGCTTCCCCCATTTACCAGAGGTATTAGAGACTGCTGTTGGGGGGGAAACGTCCGTAATTTGGCTCAGTGACCTCCTTTGGAGATATGAGGTTCTTTTACGTGCCGTAAAGCTACGACACGGGACCCACGGCTTAAAGTCCCTCCCGGAGGACTTGTTCCCTGAATTTTTCCGCCCTTAAAAATTCGACGACCTCCGCCGGGTATTTGAACCTGCATACTACGAGTCATGAGGTGGGAACGTTACCTCTAGACTACGAAGGCCGCTAGCTCAAATGTTAACTGAGAACTGCTGCTGATGTCTGGACTGAACTGTACTCTGTGGGTTTACATTACTCCAAATGTGCCTGTTATGGAAATTCAGTATGCAACTCCTTGTGAGGCTTGTTTAACCAGTTAATGGTACACAGCTACTAAAGAGGGCATCTTAACCACAATGCCAAAGGAACCACTGGCAAAATTCTTGGTATGGGCAAAAATCGAGCTGACTTAGAGTTTGTACCCACTGCAAATGGTACAAATATGGCAACTCTTCTGTGTATAACATGTTCAGCAGATTTTTCAACAAATGCTGACACTGGGATTCTCCCCTATATGTCTCAGTATGCCTCTCCACATCAAATGTTTGTGCACTTCTCTATGTTTTGCAGTCTACCAAAGAAGGGGAAACACTACCAGTACTCCTGATGCATCAAATGATGTGCATGGGTTTGGAAGTTCATACTGAGGATCTCTCTCTGCAAACAACCCTAGATCTGTTATGCCATTACCAAAGGCTTTGCCAAGAATTAATGCATATCGGTATACTCTTAGAATGTGTAATTTCCATTTCAAACACAGACTTATCAAGCAACTACGATAATGAAAGAACAGTTTTTGACTGCAAGTATAGTTTAATGGAAATAAATGGCTGATGCAACATCTCAGTGTATGTAGTCAACTCACTGTCACTGTAAACATGAAAACTGTAAGTTCTGTTGTTGAATGGAAAAGGTGAGGGTGATAAAAGACAAGAAGTCATTCACATACGCCACTCAAAACTCCATGTCCCTCAAAAGTGTGTAGCATGTGCTACTTTTGTGACCAAAGTTCTAAACCTACTGTTACGGGAACACTTTTGAATGGCTCTATTCATATGAGGGTTGGAAATTTAACAGTGGCAACACTGCTGTAGAGATGTCACGCAACGGAACCAAATAATGTTGCTTATACCACACGTTAGTTACATACCTACCTTACCTCAGANTCCAAAGCGCTGGGTAATTTTTCGTGCGGCTGTTGGCAACCCTGTTGCATTCGTTGCTTCCCCCACTCCCCCCAATACCACCAAGCATGCGCGCACGCTAGGACCCTCAGTCTTGGCACGGTTGTNACTGAATGTGCCAGAGGCCATACAGCACAACAGTGTCATCAAGATCTTCAAGAGGCTTGCGGGGAATCTGCATTACCTTACAGAACAGTTCGTCAGAACCCCAGCAATGTGAAAGTTATGGTGATTCTTGTGTACGACTGTGATGGTGTTATCCTAACACATACCGTTCCCCGACAGCAGACTGTCAATGCGCAGTATTACTGTTCGTTCTTGGAACACAACCTGCGACTAACTTTGAGAAAGAAGCGACGACACTTTCTGCAGAACCCACCCATCATTTTGCAGAACAGTGCTCGGCCGCATGCAGCGCAAGCTGTGGCTGATTCGTTCGATCGATGGGGCTGGGAAGTGCTGTACCATCCACCACACTCCCCGGACTTAAGCCCTTGTGACTTTGACTTGATTCCTAAGATGAAGGAACCACTTTGTGGCATTCGCTTCAGAACTGTTCCAGAGATTCTTCAGGCAGTAGACTGCTCCATTCAAACTATCAACACAACAGGCGCTGCTAAAGGTATCCTACAACTTCAACATCGCTGCCAACAGGTTGTACACAACGCTGGTGACTACACTGAAGGACAGTAAAACTTTGAAACATGCATCTATTTTGTATCAGTTGTAAATAAATAGTTGCCACTATTAAAGTTCCAACCCTCGTAACTGAAGCATTTCTGGACCCACATGTTTATAAACTGTTTTCACTGTTTTGGGCCATTGTACACAGTACACACACTCAAATTTTCTGTACTTATTTCTGGGACAATGGTGTAGTCTGAACTTGGGGCATACTCATAGTGTACATGGTGAAAGTAAAGTTGTCCCTGTATTTAATTAATTAATTAAGAACCCACAAGAAGACATACAGTGGAGTGAAGCTATAGCTCCAGAATACCCGACCTTGACCCTAGATGGAGGTGAGTGGTCACCTTCATGTCGCAGCAGCTTTACCTCCAGAAGAAAGAACCCCTGGTACCTGCTGGATACTAGGCTGGGTGGGCCCCAGAGCCAGTCTGGATGCTGTGAAGTAGAGAAAAATATCTTGCCCTTGCCAGGAATTGAACCTTAGCCATCCAGCCTGTAGCCGGTCACTATGCCAACTAAGCTATCCCACCTCCCCATAAAGTGCAATGCCCTTGTAATTAAAATCAGCAACGTCTCTTTAGTTTTGCTCCATATGCTCAGGGTCCTTTCTTTAATCAGAAACTCAAGCTTGGTTCACTGTAAAATCATCATTCTAATCACCATCTTCCTGATTATCTCACAAAATGTAATTTGCATGCATTGTTTTGTACTCTCGGACATCCCTGAATATACAAATGGAAAAAAAAAATGATCTGAATTTAAAGGCTGGCCATTAAGGATCTCCAGTAACATGTCAGCATATGATCATAACCACATCCCTACATGGAGCAATTTATCTGATATGAATTTTGTCTTGGTATGTTTTGATCAGATCTAATACCCCATGATTTGATAAAAGGTAATAAACTGCATTCCTCAGAGAACTGAGAGAGCAGACTTACTGTGTGATGCTAGCCACTCATTGTAATCCAAGCCAGCTGGCAGATCTACCAGCACTCGCAGGTCAATATCAGGCAACTTGCGCTCCAACACAGCTTCCTCCAGGTACAATTTTGGGTCATCAGGGCACGGGGTTGATGGTTCTTTGTCTTTCCGACGGGCTTTCCTAAAATCAGATGTACAACAGACCAATAAAACAATCGTTTAATGGAACATAAGACAAGCAAGTTCCTGGTTCAGTTCATACATCATTTAATGAGGCTGCAACAAATGCATGTCAGATGTCAATGATTACATATGACAAACTGGAAATAACAGGGAAAGAAACTTACACAAATTATTTGAAACTACTGCCCTGACATCTGGCTGGAGGAACTTAATAAGTTAGCTTCAAATTTCTTCACCACTGTAAACTTCAAAGATAGGGCACAACAGCCTGTTCAAAACTTGTTAAAATCTACAGTTGAACCCATCTTTCCCAAAGTCTTCTAAGAGTTCTTTTTCCTTATGTGGGCTACAATTCATTGCCATCTCTGAAATACAATTTCTTCTTTCATTATCTTCCACCACTATCCAGGCTTCTGATTTGTGCAAAAAAAAAAATCCAAGTACTTTATACAGTTTTACTTATGTAACAGTTCTACTTTTCAAGGTTTCTTTGTCATTTATTGTCTCGAATTTTATTAATTTATTCCACATATGTTTCATTTTAAAATGACAGGCTGATATTCTACACAATCAAACTCACTCACTTGCTCTATTAGTTTATTATCATAAATTCTGTTAATAATGTTATTTCCTTTCTTAATGTTTTGTCCCTCAGACAGCCATTGTTATCCTTCACAATGTCAGCATTTAACTACTGTATTCTCTTCTTATATAACATAATAAACATTATAATTTACATCAATCATATCATGATTTTGACACAACTGCCTGACTCCCTGCAATCAACAATCAGTTCAGCTCTTCTTATTAACTACAAGACATCTGCAAATTTTCTCCTGCCAGTCAGTGATATAAATGTTTTGGAAAATCTGTGAAAAGGGAGACTCTTGTCTAAATATTAGTTTCAAGAGTCATATCTGCTTCTGGGAAATCAGTTTTATTAATTATTTTAGTGTTATGATATAAGTTCGACACTGCATTTATGAGATGGTTTGAAAACACACTCACATGCAGCAAGTGCCATTATTCTGATCAAATTAACTTCCCTAATAATTTTATAATTCTCAACATAGATCAACATTTCAACATTCTTTTCCAATATAAATTTACTGTTTTCACAAAAATGTCTGTCCCTCATAGCCTGCCCCCACTTTGTTTACTTTCTCTTGAGTATGCACACATCTTCTAACTAAGCTTTTGTGTAGAGCTCAGCAGAACTGACATTATTTTCTCTGAGACATTCTAGAAGAACTATATTTCTCTTAAATTCATGTTTCATTTCATTTCATTTATTCACCTTCCATAAATCCTGTTGAGGATACCTTCTCATGAGAATGTGGAGATTGTCCTAGTTACAGTCGCAACTAAGAATTACAGTTGTCATCCAATAGCATATACATTTGTAATAAAATACTGATAAACATATACAATATAATAAATAAGTTAATTTTAGTAGTAAAAGTAATGGCAAACCTTATACAATTTGTACAGTTTTATACAAGTCTATTAATTAAAACACAATGTCATTAATGAGTTTTGTATAGCATACATTAATAGTATAATAAATTGAAATAAAAACTAGTATACAGTAATATAAAAATTGTGTATATCTAAATTAAGCAACTAAAACCAGAACACAGACTGACAATCTTGTCTTCTTTTAATTGTAAAGCAAGACAGCTACTCGCATCTTAAAATGATTTATAACCAAAATATTCCTGTAAAGAATAAAAAGAATGTAAATGTAAAAACTGTTTCAATTGTACCTCAAAACTCTTAGTGTCACTTGATATATCCTTAATATGTTGTGGTAGATTATTATAGACCTTTGTTCCTAAACAGTAAACTCCCTTTGGTATTTACTCAAATTTACAAGAGGCTGATTCTATGAATCTCTGAATTTACTATGAATTTGTTTCTGTTTTTTATCACAAAGAGTATAAGAGATAGTATGTACCAAGATGTGAGAGGTAAGATTTCTAATTCTTTAAATAAGTTCCTGCTTGAATCCCTCCTTCTGCGTCCCAACATAATTCTAATTATATTCTTTTGCATTCTAAAAATTTTTATACTTTGGGGTGACTTACCCCAAAAGAGTAAACCATAATTTATAACAGAATTAAAACACGAGTGATAAACCATTTTTAAGGTATTTATGGACGTGTATGGTTTAAGTGGCTGGTCATGGTAGCCGAGCGGTCTAAGGCATGCACTGTCTTCGCTCGCTCGGAAGCCGGGATCGTGGGTTCGAATCCCACTCAGGGAATGGATATTTGTGTGCGTTTTTCTGTGTTTGTCT